CAAAAAAAAACACCTGTTCTGTACCTTCAGGTGCAACGTAGACCCTATCTAATATAATGCCCCTCTTCCATTTTGCTCTCTCCAAGTGTCTTTTGATAAAAAGAAATGTGGCAAATGAAATCTGTTTGTAATCAATCAGCACATTTTATGCGATGATCTTGCCATGCACCATTCATCGTATTTCCTAGGGCCCCACGAAGTGCTCTTTAAACTGGAGTGAACACTTGGCTCAAGAGGGAGGGAGAGTAGGAAAGAAAAAGGAAGGGCTTCCATCCCATCCAACATCTTGTTAACTATCTCGGTGGTAACAGGCTATGGGCTGTTGGTATTCCTGGTAACTGAGTTCTATCAATCAGGAATGCCGGGACTATTAAATCTCATGTGAAAGCAACTTGGCCAGTCCTGGCTGGAACTTGGGACTTTTATTTGTATCCAATTAGCTCTTATCTAAGATAGTACAGCATTTCTCTGCCAGGATGCCTCTGTTTAGCCCTCTAGATTGAGAAAAGCTTGAGGAGAGAGGCAGGGTGGGACTTTATAAAGCTTCTCCTTCTACTCTGTCCACCTAGCAAGGCATCGGGAATGTTTAGTAGTTGTTCAGACTGTCCTACCGGTAAAGACATGTGGTTTGGGATTATATGCCATAAATGGAGAGGTTTTTATCAACGTCATCTTCATCCCCCTCACTCCCCTCCTCCTCTACTTCTCCTTGTTTTTTTTTTTTTAAATATATTTTTATTGATTTCAGAGAGGAAAGGAGAGGGAGAGAGAGATTGAAACATTAATGATGACTGGGAATCATTGATCGGCTGCCTTCCAAATGCCCCACACTGGGGTTGAGCCCACAACCTGGGAATATGCCCCTGACTGGAATCAAACCTGAGACCCTTCAGTCCGCAGGTCGACGCTCTATCCACTGAGCAAACCGGCTAGGGCTTCTTCTTTTTGAATGAACTTGATGAAATTAAATTTACCTGTTTGTGCACCTCTAAACAAAATCTCCATGGACTGAGTTGGAATACTTTAATTTATATCTCAGTAGTCTACAAATTAATGAACTATTGAGGTCTCCAGAATTGGAAGATGGTCTGTACTAGAATATTTATTTGCTACTTTCAAAAAGGCATACGCCAATTCCTATTAATTCCTAATTCACAATATCAACATGAGCTTGCATCTAGCCAAGCACATCTTCCCTTCTCCAGATACTGCCAACTATTTCAGCCTCTGGATTCTCTTATGTAAAACAGACATAATAATAACTTACCTCCTGAGGCTGTGGTGGTTTTTAAATAATATCTAGGCTGTAAAATTTAGCAGATTAGATTGTCAAGCAATGACAACAGTAGTACAAACAGACATAATAATAGTTATTATTATGTTATTACACTTATCTGGAAATGACAACTTTTAATATTTTCATGTGATGGTGTGGAACATTTCTTTGGAGGAAAACATATAGACTACAAATCATGAACCACAAATATTGTCACTTTGCCTCAGATATCTGCCTTTGTAATCTGTGAAGACAACTGGCAAGCCTGACTTCAGTTCTCAAAATAGAATCTATGCAGTGTGTTGGCAAGCAGTACCAAAATTTATTTGACTGAGAGATTTATTTTTCACAAATTGATCTATTATATTGGAGCCAATATAATTTGCACTGGTCAGACCAAGAGTTCTAGATCAAGCAAGTGCTATCATTTCAGAAAAAAATGCGGAGAAATATTCTCAACTGGACTCCTTAATGCCTTTCAACTGAATGGTTTATGAAAGCTGAGGTCATGGGAGTTAGTTGGTCTAGACTAGGAATGTAACATAACCCCCTCTCCTCCAGGACACAAAAAAAAGGCAATGCCAATGTGTAAGAAAACCAGATCAATTCAGAGCTCCTCTGAATAATCATGAAAGTGTTTCAGAAGACCAGAGAA